TATAACAAATATCAGGAGATATCCAGTGAAGCTGAAGACTGGGAAATTCGGGAGAGGCAAAAGGAGGTACTTCTTCACACAAAAGCATATTTGATGCTAAGGAGTCTTGGCAGCTGCTTAAATTTTCTTGATCAGCTGGTCGTTTTAATGATTAATTTGTGGTGTTTAAACATTGCATATGCCTAGAGACGTGGGTGGCGCTGTGGTCTAAACCACAGAGCCTAGGACTTGCCAATCAGGAGGTTGGCAGTTCAAATCCCCACAATGGGGTGAGCTCCCATTGCTCGGCCCCTGCTCCTGCCAACCTAGCAGTTCGAAAGCATGTCAAAGTGCAAGTAGGTAAATAGGTACCACTCTGGCGGGAAGGTAAATGGCGTGTGCGTGCGCTGCTCTGGTTCGCCAGAAGCAACTTAGTCATGTTGACCGCATGACCCGGAAGCTGTACGCCGGCTCCCTCAGCCAGTAAAGCGAGATGAGCACCGCAACCCCAGAGTCGTCCATGACTGGACCTAATGGTCAGGGGTCCCTTTACCTTTATGTCTATACATTGTAGGCTGCCTTGCTATGTAATTTGTATTTGTGGTGCTTTATGTTTAAATACAGGGACGCGGGTGGCGCTGTGGGTAAAACCTCAGCGCCTAGGACCTGCCGATCGCATGGTCGGCGGTTCGAATCCCCACGGCGGGGTGCGCTCCCGTCGTTCAGCCCCAGCGCCTGCCAACCTAGCAGTTTGAAAGCACCCCCGGGTGCAAGTAGATAAATAGGGACCGCTTACCAGCGGGAAGGTAAATGGCGTTCCGTGTGCTGCGCTGGCTTGCCAGATGCAGCTTCGTCACGCTGGCCACGTGACCCGGAAGTGTCTGCGGACAGCGCTGGCTCCCGGCCTCTAGAGTGAGATGAGCGCACAACCCTAGAGTCTGTCAAGACTGGCCCGTACGGCCAGGGGGTACCTTATGTTTAAATACTGTATATGTGCATATATTGTAGGCAGTGGCTCCTTGGTTCTCGAACTTAATCCATTCCAGAAGTCCGTTCGACTCCCGAAACCGTTTGAAAACCAAGACACGGCTTCTAATTGGCTGCAGGAGCTTCCCGCACTCAGTCAGAAGCCGCGTCGGACGTTCGGCTTCCGAAAAATGTCCATAAACCGGAACACTCACTTCCGGGTTTGCGGTATTTGGGATCCGATTTGTTTGACTACTAAGCCGTTTGAGAACCAAGGTACCACTGTGTTTTACATGAAACAGCGAAACATAAATATTTTAATAAATACGTACCAACCTACTCAGGCCCTGAGATCAGTATCTGAGGCCCTTCTGTGTGTGCCCCCTCTGAGGGCGTTCTGGGGGCTGGCGGCGAGAGAGCGGGGCCTTTTCTGTAACCGAAGGCTGCTTGAGTTGGAACAGAGCAGGATTTTGCTTCCCGAAGAACATAACTCAGGATCTGTTACGGTGGCAGAAGGAGAGCAGCTTCTGGAGGTTGTCCGTTTTTCTTTATTACAAGGGCTGAACAAACCATGCACCGGCCATCAACGGGCAGCGAACAGATTTATAGCTGGTCTTTGCCACACTGAGAGCTCTGCAGTGCCGCCAGGCAGGGAAGGCAAAATTTAAGGCGCGCTCTGGCCTTGATCCGAGAAAGTCCTTGGCTGCGTCGTCACTCCCTTGCTTTATGGTCTCTTCTCTTGCGGGTGCAAGGAGCGCATTATGGGTCTGTTAGGACCATATTTTTCAAAGTCTGTGAGTCCGGTGGTTCAGAACTGACCATAAGGGAATCTTCATGTACGGTGCTAAGTTCTCTTTTGGGCAGGGAGTGTTGACAATCAGACATGTCCTGATTATTATAAGGGTGACAAAAATGAAACTGCTTAGACCAGGGCTGTCCAACAGGTCGATCGCGATCTACTGGTGGATTGCAGGATGTCCCCGGTTGATCCTGATTGATTGCGGGAATCTGCCCCCTCCCCCCCAAAAAACAAGAAACTCAACAACTTTGTCTCATCCTCCCCCCCAAAAGCTCAACAACTCTGGACAATCCTCCATAATAATAATAATAATAATAAATTTATTGATACCCCGCCCATCTGGCTGGGTTTCCCCAGCCACTCTGGGCGGCTTCCAAAAAAATATTAAAATACTGTAATACATCAAACATCAAAAGCTTCCCTAATCCAATGGGAAAATCACTGCCAGTTTTTTTATAGTGGGAATAGATCGCAGTCTCTTGGAAGTTGGACATGCCTGCAGCGGCGTAGCGTGGGTTGTCAGCACCCGGGGCAAGGCAAGTAATTTGTGCCCCCTAACCCGTGGATTTGCGCCCCCTAACCCGTGGATTTGCCCTAACCCCAGATGTTGCGCCCGGTGCGGCCGGCACCCCCTGCACCCTCCACGCTACGCCACTGCATGCCTGGCTTAAATTAATCGATGAAAGCATTTTGAATTACTAAAAGGGTGCTTTTAAAAAAAAAGAAAAGAAAACACAACACCCACCCTATATACCTATAAGAAACTGCAGATGACGGATTCGAAACCAGGATGAATCAAAATTCCAAAGAGATTGGAGTAAATTTACTGATTATCTAAATAATAACTGTAGAAGTTTGAAGACACTAGCAGGATGAAAATAAATCTTATGACATGGACTTGAATAAAGAGGAAACTGTGAGATGTAGATTGGAAATAGAAAACTGTTGGCAGGAGGGAGAGAGGGAAGTCATTGCTCGGCAGAGCGGGGGGAAAGGAGTTGTACAAATGGATGTTGAAGTTTATTGTTGTTTGTTTAAAGTGAAAATTCAATTAAAAAGTATTTTTAAAAAAAATAAAAAAAGAAACTGCAGATGACCATTCTAAATGAGGTATTTTTTCTTGTGTGTGGCAGGGGTGTGTGTGGAATCTCCTTTTGAAGATGCAATACACACACACACACACACACACACACACACACAGACACACACTTTCTGGTGTATACCGTATTTTTCGCTCTATAAGACGCACCAGACCATAAGACGCACCTAGTTTTTGGAGGAGGAAAACAAGAAAAAAAATATTCTGAATCTCAGAAGCCAGAACAACAAGAGGGATCATTGCACAGCGATCCCTCTTGCTGTTCTGGCTTCTGGGATAGCTGCGCAGCCTGCATTCGCTCCATAAGATGCACACACATTTCCCCTTACTTTTTAGGAGGGAAAAAGTGAGTCTTATAGAGCAAAAAATACGGTATTTACAGCCCTAAGGGCTGGAAAGTTGGTCTTAATTTAAATAAAATTTAATCCTGTTTTGAGTTGTTGAATTGGGCACTTTTTGACAGTGTCTGCGTTTGCCGTTTGGCTCCTAGATGAAGCCACTGCCCACGAAGGTGCTGGCAGTTTATGCCACTGGAGTTTCACTGTGGGGTAGTAAAAACGGGTGCAGTTTGGTAATTCTGCGGAGGGGGTGCCATTTTGTCCTTACACCATGAGTACTGATGGGTGAAGTCCCAGGCTCAGCTTAGATGGTAATTGCCTGTCCCAAACAAAAGTGTTTCGTTCTCACAGAGAACGTCTCTCCTCCCAACCCCAAATTCTCAATAGATTCCTAACTGTTGACCGACCTCCAGCTGCTTAACAGGGAGATGGTGGCTACTGCTCAGTGACTGAAGAAGGTCATTCTCAACTCTCCTCTTTTCTGCCTTTCTCCAATGGTAGCCATACTGATACCAGGTACCTCCCAGGGCTCCCAGCACTTAGGACATTGACAACAGTCAGGTCAGTGGGTGGGTGGGAATAAGGAGGAGTTCTTCTGCAGCTCAGATTAAATCCAAGTCGGGGCATAACTCAGGATTCTTAATACTCACCTTGTATTGAAAGTAGCATTATGGAGAAGTGAGATTTGTATTCAGAGCCAATGAATTATGGACTTCAGTGAAATCTGACACCAGGAATCACAAGACAGAGAAACCAGTAGGAGAACACTTCAATCTCCCAGGACATCCTATACAAGATCTCAAAGTCGCTGTCTTGTTACAAAAGAATTTCAGAAATAGGCTGGAAAGAGAAGTTGCTGAATTGCAACTTATTACCAAACTTAAAGGACATGAGTGGTGCTGTTGGTTAAACCACAGAGCCTAGGACTTGCCAATCAGGTCGGTGGTTCGAAACCCCGCGACGGAGTGAGCTCCCGTTGTTCGGTCCCTGCTCCTGCCAACCTAGCAGTTCGAAAGCACGTCAAAGTGCAAAGTGCAAGTAAACGGCGTTTCCGTGCACTGCTCTGGTTCGCCAGAAGCGGCTTAGTCATGCTGGCCACATGACCCGGAAGCTGTACACCAGCTCCCTTGGCCAGTAAAGCGAGATGAGCGCCGCAACCCCAGAGTCGGCCACGACTGGACCTAATGGTCAGGGGTCCCTTTACCTTTACCAAACTTAAAACCATGGAGAGACCTGGTCTGAATAGAGACATTGGATTCTTATCTCATTATATACGATAAAGCTATTTTTAGCCATCTCACCCCTTGCTTTTTCCTGTAAGACCAATTGCAGTCATTAACGGTTGTCAACAGGTTTACCACACCTATCAGCCAATCACCCATTCCCACCACCCTTCTGAATAATACCCCACCCCACCCTCTCACTATATATAAGGGTCTGGTGATTTCTGTTTCAGTGTATCTGAAGAAGTGTGCATGCACATGAAAGCTCATACCCAGAACAAACTTAGTTGGTCTCTAAGGTGCTACTGGAAGGAATTTTTTAATTTTGTTTCAGTCATCTATGAGTGTGGAAGGGAACAGACACATCCTGTGTTCAGGTGGTAATGGGTTACCTGGGCAAATGCCATTTTTTTTGCTCGTATACAACATCTGAGGTGGATTTTGTGGTTCCCGTTTCTCCAGAGGCGCTTCTTGGGTGACGCTTCTGAAGCGAACACATGTCAGGGTAAGAGGGGCAGAATGAAAATTGTGTTGTTTTCAAGACTTTCCGGGCCTTATTTTAATCTGTTTTATCTTCTTCCATTCCATTTTTTTAGCACCTATAACCAGGCCTGTGAATGAGCGGGGATCGTTTGGGAACCTAGGAGGTGCTGTGTCGCAGCCGGAGATTTAGACCTGAGCCGGCTCATTCAAGTAAATAAAATCACTGTTCTGTCTTGTGCGAGGGAGGGATAAGGACACGATGACCCCGAGGCCAACCCACGAGAGCACTGCATCCTAAGCTAATTCCTTTTCTTCCTCACTCCCCCCGCAGTCAACCCAATTCGTCCCTTTCGCTGATTGACATTTCCCTGGTCAGAATCTGCATACCCCGTGGTTGGTCAGTGAGTTTGCATGGGGGTTATAATAGCAGTCTCTCCCTGCTAGGTGAGTAAACTTGTCATTCCACAGTGGCCATTGGTTCTTTTGAATGTGCCACAACTTAGTGAAAGAGGATGGGTTCAGGTATATGGGAATAAGGCATCTTGATTTTTTCACCTTTCAAATTCCAAAAACTAGGGATGCTAAAAAAAGAAAGAAAGATATTAACCTGACTTGGGAATTCGAAAGATATGTCAGTTAAATTAATACAATTTCGTTTTGCTTGGTAAGTAAAGTGTGCATAAAATTGCATAGAAATCATTAAAAATGATTGCCAAGTACTTGCAGTCATTTATTGTTGCTGTTATTTATTTAGCATTACGTGTTTTCAGAAGGTGAAAGTCTTTGGTTTTCCTAAAGCAGTATATGTGCTTCTTCATGAAGCACAGACTTGCCGAGCTAAATGATTTCCAGTCACAAAAATAACAGCAGATTTAGAGACTCACCCCCCGTTGAAGAAATGGGCAAAAATTAAGTTTCACCCCCTAAAATGACATACCCTGGTATGGAAAGGTGCCTGAATTGGTCACATAGAACCTGTGAGTCCATGCTACCTTGAAGAAATGTCTTACACACACACACCCATAAACACAAACACACATTGTCTCTCCCCACTTCATGCATATGCATACAGCTAAATGGTTAAGTCTTCAACTTCCCCGGTTTTCAAATGGCAGCAGTGAGGAGCTGCAGGCCATCACATTTGTGGATCTTGACCTGTTTGGTAGAACATGTCTCTCCTCTCGCTCCTCCAGTTTCATCACCTGCTTGTAGGCACCTGTTTAGCTACTGTGAGAAGGGGATAAGAGACCAGGCGAGTCTGTGGCCTCATCCAGCAGCCAAGGCTCTCTAGATTATGATGCAATTAACTACCAGCCTCCCTGACATTTAGCACCTGATACTGGAACGGCATTCATAGGATCATAGAATCGGCGAGTTGGAAGGGACCCCAAAGGTGTTCTAGTCCAGCATTTCCCAAACTCGGGTCTCCAGCTGTTTTTGGACTACAACTCCCATCTGCCCTAGTGGTCAGGGAAGATGGAAATTGTAGTCCAAAAGCAGCTGGAGATTGGCCCAATCCAACAGCACTTTTCTCACCGCACTGGGGACTAGACATGTTGTTTTGTAGCTCTCTCTGTGTGTTTGTGTGTAGCTGTTGTGGTTTTCCGAATGCCAGTGCACTTAACATCCTTGCTGCAGGATGCTATTGGTGTGGTGTGTGTGTGTGTGTGCGTGTGTGTGTGTGTTGGAAAGGGAGCATGGAGGCGTTGGTAGCTGTGGTTTTGCTCTACATGCAGCAATTGTAATTACGTCCGGTTTGCTGTTGTGCTACTCCCTGCTGTCTCGGTGTGAGGGTTGCCGCGCTTTGCTAGCTTGCTGCCCACCCAAAGTGCCCCTTCGCTGATGCCCGCTTTGCAAGGAGTCAGGGAGACTATAGTCTGGAACACCCTCCTCTCTCTGACCAATAAAGTCTGGATTTTTACACCTCTGCTGTTGTAATGTGTACTGTTTTTATACCATTCTTCCGTTTTCCTTTCGTTTTCCGCTGTGTTTTGTTTCATACTGCTTATGTATTTTTTAATGTTCAGCAGCTCAGAAACGCTGCAAAAGAGGTGAGGGGAGTTGCGGTGCGCCAGCCCCTGGCCCTTACCCTGGCCCAGAAACAAGAATTGTAAGGATGCAAGTAGAGCCCTGCAGGATCAAGCCCATGGCCCATCTAGCTCTCAGCATCCTTTTCCCACAGTGGCCAACCAGAAAGAAAAGCTTGCAAGCAAGACCTGAGTGCCCACAGCCCTCTCTCCAACTGCAGTTCCCAGCAAGGGGGATTCCAAGGTTTACTTGTCTCCCCCGGTGGAGATGGAGACAAGCCATTGTGGCTAGTAGCCACCAATAGCATGCCGTTGGGTTGAATTGGCTCCCGCAGGACGTAGTGGTGTCTACGAAACTGGATGGCTTTAAAAGGGGAGGCGGGAAAACCATGGAGGACATCTGTGGCTGTGAGCCACGATGGCCATCTTCTGGTCCCCAGGGTCAGAGACAATACACCTTCTGAATCCCAGCTGCTAGGGGACTCAAGTAGGAGTCGAGGACACTTATAATAATAATATTATAATAATTTATTATTTATACCCCACCCATCTGGCTGGGCTTCCCCAGCCGCTCTGAGCGGCTTCCAACAAAATATTAACATTAAAAGCTTCCCTAAACAGGGAATGTCTTCAGATGTCTTCTAAAAGTCTGGTAGTTGTTGTTCTCTTTGACATCTGGTGGGAGGGCGTTCCACAGGGCGGGTGCCACTACCGAGAAGGCCCTCTGTCTGGTTCCCTGTAACCTCACTTCTCGCAAAGAGGGAACTGCCAGAAGGCCCTCGGAGCTGGACCTCAGTGTCCGTGTAGAACGATGGGAGTGGAGACTCTCCTTCAGATATACTGGACCGAGGCCGTTTAGGGCTTTAAAGGTCAGCACCAACTTGCACCCAGGTCCTGCTTGGACGCTTCCTGTTGTGGCCATCTCTTTGGCTACTTGGAATACAGGATGCTAGGCTGACTAGATGGGCCTTTGGTGAGGTCTTCCCACGTTTATTCCCCTTGTGCCCCCAAAGCTGGGCTTTTCTTGTGTTCACGGCTGCTCCAAGCAACCTCTTTTTGTGATGTCCTGTTCTTTCCCCCTTTCTCCCAGTGCCACTGACGTCTTGTGCCTCCACTACCATACCTTGCCATGGCCAAATTAGAGACCCTCTCCGTCCTTAGTGACGCCAGCTACCACAACAAGGAAGCCTTCCACCCTTTCGACCACAGGCTCACCGAACCCGCCTCCCAGGGCACGATGGGAAGCGTCGGCAGCGGCGTCGCCGGCGAGCAAGAGTTCGCCATGAAGAGCGTGGGTACCAGGACGCAGAGCGGCGGGCGCCAGGTCGATGGGTCCCGGAACAGCTACTCCACGCGGGAGATCTCGAACCGCTACTCTGGGGAAGAGAAGACCTACAAGACGGAGAAGATCTCCCACTCCATCTTCATCAACGGGGACCTGCGCAAGAGCGAGAAAGGGAAGGGGGACCTCTGTGGGAACGTCGCGGCCAACAACGAGAAGAACATCCCACCTCCTCCCCAGTACAGAGAACCCAGTAACCCACCAAAGATATTGCCAGTCTCTGGTAAACTAGACCAGGTGAGACTCAATTTACATCCTAGAAGAGAGGTACCCAGACCGTGGGCCGTGAGCAGCCACATTGGTCCACGGCCGTCATCCAGGTGGTCTGTGGAATGACCGCATTAAATGTTTGCATTCATTCTCAATTGTATTTTAATTTCTTCCTTTATTTCTTCCAGACTGTGTTTCATTGTATTGCAGTTTGAAGGAAGCAGTTTTTTAAAAACATGGTTAAAATTAACAAAACATCTAGCTCTTTGCATGTACAACAGGCGATGCTTGGTTGTTTGGTTATAAGTCACTTGGAGTTGCCTTGGGCAAGATGATGATGATGATGATATATCATTTATACCCCGCCCATCTGGCTTGGTTTCCACAGCCACTCTGGGCAGCTTCCAACAGGACACTAAAATACAATAACCTATTAAACATTAAAAGCTTCCCTAAAGAGGGCTGCCTTAAGATGTCTTCTAAAAGTCTGGTGGTTGTTTTTCTCTTTGACATCTGGTGGGAGGGCATTCCACAGGGCGGGCGCCACCACCGAGAAGGCCCTCTGCCTGGTTCCCTGTAACTTGGCTTCTCGCAATGAGGGAACCGCCAGAAGGCCCTCGGCGCTGGACCTCAGTGTCCGGGCAGAAAGATGGGGGTGGAGACGCTCCTTCAGTGACACGAACAAATTTAATAAATCACCATCATCCACATTAAGTGGTCCGCAAAGACCCCCTACAATTTTCAGGTGGGGCATGTCCGGGGGTTGGAATTTGAGACCTCATGTCCTGGGAATATAGGAAGCTGCCAAGTCAAACAATTGGTGGAGAAATTCCAGACCCTTGACCATCTTGGTTGCCCTAAACCAGGCATAGGCAAACTCGGCCCTCCAGATGTTTTGGGACTACAACTCACATCATCCCTGACCACTGGTTCTGTTAGCTAGGGTTGATGGGAGTTGTAGTCCCAAAACATCTGGAGGGCTGAGTTTGCATATGCCTGTCCTAAACTGTACACCTTCCAGTTTGTCAACATTCTTAAATTGTGGTGCCCAGAACTGGTCACAGGACTCCAGGTGTGGTCTGACCAAGGCAGAATAGAGTGATACTATGATTTCTCTTGACCAAGATACTAGACTTCTGTTGATGCAGCTTAGAATAGCATGAGCTTTTTTTGTTGCTGCATCACACTGTGGACTCATGTTCAGCTTGTGGTCCACTAAGATCCCCTAGATCCTTTTCACATGTACTACTAGTAAGCCAGGTGTCCCCCAACTTATATTTGTGCATCTAGTTCTCCTTGCCTAAGTGCAGAACCTGACATTTGTCCCTATTGAAATCCATTCAACTGGCTTGGGCCCAGTTCTCCAATCTCTTGCAGTCGTATTGACTCTCAATTCTGTCTTCCGTGGCATTAGTTGTCATAGAATCATAGAGTTGGAATAGACCACAAGGGCCATCGAGTCCAACCCCCTGCCAAGCAGGAAACACCATCAGAGCACTCCTGACATATGGTTGTCAAGCCTCTGCTTAAAGACCTCCAAAGAAGGAGACTCCACCACACTCCTTGGCAGCAAATTCCACTGTCGAACAGCTCTTACTGTCCGGAAGTTCTTCCTAATGTTTGGTGGAATCTTCTTTCTTGTAGTTTGGATCCATTGCTCCGTGTCCGCTTCTCTGGAGCAGCAGAAAACAACCTTTCTCCCTCCTCTATATGACATCCTTTTATATATTTGAACATGGCTATCATATCACCCCTTAACCTCCTCTTCTCCAGGCTAAACATGCCCAGCTCCCTTAGCCGTTCCTCATAAGGCATCGTTTCCAGGCCTTTGACCATTTTGGTTGCCCTCCTCTGGACACGTTCCAGTTTGTCAGTGTCCTTCTTGAACTGTGGTGCCCAGAACTGGACACAGTACTCCAGGTGAGGTCTGACCAGAGCAGAATACAGTGGCACTATTACTTCCCTTGATCTAGATGCTATACTCCTATTGATGCAGCCCAGAATTGCATTGGCTTTTTTAGCTGCCGCGTCACACTGTTGGCTCATGTCAAGTTTGTGGTCAACCAAGACTCCTAGATCCTTTTCACATGTACTGCTCTCAAGCCAGGTGTCCCCCATCTTGTATTTGTGCCTCTCATTTTTTTTGCCCAAGTGCAATACTTTACATTTCTCCCTGTTAAAGTTCATCTTGTTTGTTTTGGCCCAGTTCTCTAATCTGTCAAGGTCGTTTTGAAGTGTGATCCTGTCCTCTGGGGTGTTAGCCACCCCTCCCAGTTTGGTGTCATCTGCAGGTCTGATGAGGTAGAAGCAGGTTTCTCATTTCCCAGGGCTTCCGGCATCAGAGCTGCAGCTGTTGGACTGACTTTGGGAAAGTGCACCCTTTCTACCCAGGCTTTTGGCCCTTAACGTGAAGGTGTTTTATGTATTTGTGGCCTCTTTTGGCATGACAGGATCTGTTAAAACCTGTGTCTGATTTGTACACATCTTTGGGTTGGGGTTTTTAAAAACGTTTTTATGTAGCAATAATTATAATTTTACTATTTATACCCCGCTCATCTGGCTGGGTTGCCCTAGCCACTCTGAGCGGCTTCCAGCAAAATAAAAAATATATTTTAAAAAACCTCCCTATACAGGGCTGCCTTCATATGTCTTCTAAAAGTCATATAGTTGTTTATCTGTTTTACATCTGATGGAAGGGCGTTCCACAGGGCGGGTGCCACTACCAAGAAGGCCCTCTGCCTGGTTCCCTGTAGTTTCACTTCTTGCGTTGAGGGAACCGCCAGAAGGCCCTTTCAGGGTTATATTTATATCCCTCCTTATATTTATATTTATATCCCTTATATTTATATCCCTCCTTATAGAGCACACACACCATCAAGTTACTTTACCGTCTCCTTCCATTTCTCAAGGTCTCTGTATAAAACCAAGGAACTGTTAGTTACTGAAGCTGGGGAGGATTTTTGTTGTTGGGGGAGATTTTAAGAAGGGAAGCAGTCATGCAAAAGTGTTTCTGCACTTTTTTTGCCACTGCTTTATTTTGGGCTGCAAGTTAAAGCTGCCGGTTCCTCAGAGAGAAATAGAGATAATGCAGGAAATTATGGGCTGCAAGTTAATGAAAAGAAGTGCCCCCCCCAGGCTCCTCTGAACTTTCCTCAAGTCACCCTGGGGTGCTATGGCACACCGGTTGAACACCAATGCTCAGGATTGGAAATCACTTGTAGTTTAAGGTTGAATTCTGGACATGGTGGGAGAAGTAAAGGATTTGGATTATCATAAAAGGAGGAAATGATAAATAATAGAACCCACTAAGGCAGCCTTTCTCAACCTGTGGGTCCCCAGATGTTGTTGAACTACAACTCCTATCACCCCTAGCTAGCAAGGCCAGAGCTCAGGGATGATGGGAGTTGTAGTCCAACAACATCTGGGGACCCACAGGTTGAGAACCGCTGCACTAAGAGGAGGATGGAAGTCCAGGAGATTCCTTGGAATCTTGTTTTTATGATTTACGTTTGATATATCTCTGTGAAATTTTAATTTGAAAAACAAAACAAATAATTCTTTAAAAAAAGAAAACCAATGCCCTAGCCAACCGAGCTATCCAGGCTGTGTCAATCCTTGTGTTTAATTTGATGTCCTGTTCTTTTCTTTCCCTCCTCCTTGCAGAGCAATGAGCCCTTAGTTAGACCTTCAGCCTTTAAGCCCGTAGTCCCTAAAAACTTCCATTCCATGCAGAACCTGTGCCCGCCGCAGAACAACGGCATCTCGGAGACCCGGAAGACCTTGAACCACACCAACAGCAATAGCCCTTCCACGGTCAAAAGTGGGATGGAGAAGGCCAGCCATAACAGGACTACCAACCAGGCGGGCGGCCTCTCCGATTCCGGGCGGAACTCTTTGACCAGCCTGCCCACCTACGGCACAGGCTATAGCCAGCACATCGGGCCCATGAGCGCATCGACCAGCCACATAAACCGCATCGGGACCACCTACGTGGACAAGAACATTGTGGGCTACAATGGGATATCTACCTCAGACAGCGGCCGGTCTTCCAGCAAGAGCACGTCCTCGTTCAGCCGGCTCAACCACCTCAACGAGACGATGCCCTTCCACTCGCCCTCGACGGACGACATCATCCAGGACTTGGAGGACCGGCTGTGGGAGAAGGAGCAGGAGGTCCTTCAGATGAGGAGGAACCTCGACAAGAGCGAGGCGGCCATCTACCAGGTCTTTGAGGAGAAGCAGAAGATCTGGGAGCGGGAGATGGAGGACCTGCGGCAGAATTACGCCAACAAGCTGCAGCAGGTCTCCAAGAAGGCCCAGAGGGCGCAGCAGGCTCTGCAGCTGCAGATCTTCAAGCTCCAGCAGGAGAAGAAGAAGCTCCAGGACGACGTGGGGCAGCTCCTCCAGCAGCGGGAAGAGCTGGAGAAGAAGTTCGTGGCTTTCAAGAAGGAGCAGGCAGAGTTCCTTCCCAAGATCGAGGAGACCAAGTGGGAGGTGAGAGGCAGGTGTGGTCTCTGTCACGGAGAGCCAACTGGGGGGCCTTCAAAATAATAATAATAATAATAATAATAATAATAATAATAATAATAATAATAATAATAAATTTATTTGTACCTTGCCTTGCCACCTGGCTGGGTTTTTCCAACAAAGATTAAAAATACATCGAAATGTCACACATTTAAAACTTCCCTGAACAGGGCTGCCTTCAGATGTCTTCTAAATGTCAGGTAGTTGTTTATCTCTTTGAGATCTGATGGGAGCGTGTTCCACAGGGTGGGCACCACCACCGAGAAGGCCCTCTGCCCGGTTCCCTGTAACCTCACATCTCGCAGGGAGGGAACTGCCAGAAGGCCCTCAACACTGGACCTCAGTGTCTGGGCAGAATGATGGGGGTGGAGACGCTCCTTCAGGTCTACTGGACCGAGGCTGTTTAGGGCTTTAAAGGTCAACACCAACACTTTGAATTGTGCTCGGAAACGTACTGGGAGCCAATGTAGGTCTTTCAAGATGTTGGCCTGAGGAGGGGGTGTAATCTAGAAGCGTCCTGAAGGCCCACATTATGTGTGAGCAACCTTTGACGCTTCAGATGTTGCGGAACTGCAACTCCGATGGGATTTGTTGATAAGCAATATTTGGAGGGCCAAAAGTTGTGGTGGTGATGGTTTTACTTGTATTTATATTTATTCATTTATATTTTACTACAGTGGTACCTTGGTTCTCGAACTTAATCCGTTCCGGGAGTCCGTTCGACTTCCGAAACCATTTGAAAACCAAGGCACGGCTTCTGATTGGCTGCAGGAGCTTTCCACACTTAATCGGAAGCCACGTCGGATGTTCGGCTTCCGAAAAACATTTGCAAACTGGAACACTAACTTCCAAGTTTGGGGCGTTCAGGAGCCGATTTATTCGGGAGCCAAGCTGTTTGAGTACCAAGGTACCACTGTATTAGTATATGAAGCCCCTAACTGCTGGCAACCAATTTACTTATGGGATTGACTTGCCTCTTTCCATGCCTGTTAGATCATTTCACTCTGCCAAACTAGCATTCATACAAGTGCCACATTACGTCCACTACACATTTGCAAAGAGCTTTTCCTTCACGTGTGCTGTGGAACTCCCTGCCCCTTGATGTTAGGTAGGTGCCTTGCTGGATTGTTTTAGATGCCTCCTGAAAACATTTCTGTTCCAGCAAGTCTGCCCAGGCCCCTGATTTAGTTACTTATATGTGTTGTAAAGACTTGCTGGTTTTATCTTTTCCTAGTGGTGATATTGATGATGATTCTATTCATATTTCTTTCTAAGTGGTTCATGGGTTTTAGCTATGTTTTCTACATTCTCTAGGATAATTTCTTTTGATCCCTCGGTTTATTATCTAAAGAAACAAATTAAACTCAGGCACCCAAATCTTAGGGCGCTTCGACTTTTTCCGGGGTTTTGTGGTTGGGTTGGATTCCATTGCATACTGGTAAATTCAGGTTGTTAAATTATAGTGGATTGGGAGGTCTTGTGCAGCAATCTTGGTTTTCCCAAAAGACTAGACTTTTCGTGATAAGGAAGGGGGGCGATACATAGGAAAGTGTGAGATAATAACACTTGCTTTGACACAATCTCATCTAACCTCCCTGCGAGCAAATTGGAATGAATGCACATTAAATAGCCAACGGTGTCTAATCTCCCTGCAAGCAAATCCGGGTGCAGCCTCATTAAACTGGTCATCTGGAAGCATCCCTTAACATTACAAGGTTCTTACAAAAACGCTGTTGTGCCACCACCAAAATGCAACTTGCAGAATTGACTCTCCGCAGACAGCAGGCTTGTTTAAAAAGTCTGCAAGCTGCTGTTTGAGATCAACTCAGGGTGATCACCGAATGCAGATTCCCTCAGGTTTTGTGCTTCAGGAGACAGTGGGGAGGAGTATCAAGCGACCCCTGACCATTAGGTCCAGTCGTAGCCGACTCTGGGCTTGCGGCGCTCATCTCGCTTTATTGGCCGAGGGAGCCGGCGTACAGCTTCCGGGTCATGTGGCCAGCATGACTGTAATGGTTCTAGGGGTTGCTCGTGCGTAAGCCAGTGCTTATCTCCCCGGCTGGGTGCAAACACCTGGCTGGGTTGCCTAAGTGAACCTTTTCTGTCCGGACAGCCACTTACCCGTGGCTGTCTGAATCGCTGGCAGAATCCGTCAGTGGGCGTTTCTTAAACTTCTTCCAGCAAAGAAGCTCTTTGACGCCTAGTCTCCTCCTACTCTCTCTGCGCGAAAGCCTTCTGCGCAAGGAGGGTGTGGGCAGCGGAGGACCCCTACTCTCCCCGCTGGTCCCAGGCAAGGAGTCATGGGACCGCCTCGCCGCTTCCCCCATCTGCCCCCCTTCTCCACTGGTGCTACGCTGATTCTCTTCCCCAGAAGATGGGCTGCTTCTCCCGATCCCTGGACGCTCTCTGGGATCCCTCTGGCTTTTGCTCTCTCCCTGATGGCAGTTCCCTGACAATGAGTAAGCCGCTTCTGGCAAACCAGAGCGGTGCACAGAAACACCGTTTACCTTCCCGCTGGAGTGGTACCTATTTATCTACTTGCACTTTGATGTGCTTTCGAACTGCTAGGTTGGCAGGAGCAGGGACCGAGCAACGGGAGCTCACCCTGTCGCAGGGATTTCAAACCGCCGACCTTCTGATTGGCAAGTCCTAGGCCCTGTGGTTTAACCCACAGCGCCACCCGTGTCCCATGAAGCAGCTTAGGCTTGGTCTATAATGTTGCCTCTTCGGTTGTGCCCTATTTGGACTAGCAGGAAACCAGCACAATGAACCATGCTCTTTTGTCGACTGAATTTAGGTGCTCCATACGCCCTTTGGAGAGAAATGAGATAGAAGAGCTTGTGAGTCTCCACAGGGCCTTTTAAAAGTGTCAAAGTGTGCCTGAGCAAACATGCCTGACCCCCCCAAAAGACTCCCTCTGAAAAGCACTTAAGAGAGAGTGTGTTAACTGTACTCTTTTATGTTGGCCCAGCTTAACTGGAAATAGTGTTCTTCCTCAGACTCATAGCTGTCAACCTTCCCTTTTTTGGCGGGAAATTCCCTTATTCCAGCGCAGTTTCCCGCTGCTATCCCGGTTTGTTAGATATCCCGTAGACCAGTGTTTCCCAACCTTGTGCCTCCAGCTGTTTTTGGACTACAATTCCCATCATCCCTTGCCACTCGTCTTGCTAGTCAGGGATGATGGGAGTTGTAGTTCAAAAACAGCTGGAGGCACAAGGTTGGGAAACACTGCCGTAGACTGTCCCCGGGACACGTGAGGCTGCTGATCCCTTATTTTCAAATCTGAAAGTTGACAGCTATGCTCAGACTTAGGTGCTCACCTCTGCAAAAAAGGCCTCCATTCTGTTACAAGTAGGCCAATGTTAACCCCGGTGTCTCAAGAGCAACCTTACCTAACCTGGAGCCTTCCAAATGTTTTGGATTCCAACTCCCATGAGCGCCTGGCAGCATGGCAGGGCTGGTGTGAGTTCTAGTTCAAGGTCTCTGGAAGGTACCAGACTGGTGAAGGCTGTTCTGGACGCTTCAGTCAAAGCTATTGCCTTAGTATGGTACCTTGAGGAGGTGCCAATGGCAAATCAAGAGTCTTCAAGGTTGTGGCTACAGCACAGGTGGGTATCAGTGACCAGGAACTCAATCACCAGCCAAGAGACACATCCTTCTCTTTGATGGCATGAGCACAGGTGAGCGGCATGTGCCATCTGCCAGGGATTCTTTAATAATAATAATAATAATAATAATAATAATAATTAATAGATTTATTTATACCACGCCCATCTGGCTGGGTTTCCCTAGCCACTCTGGGCTGCTCAACAGAACATTAAAAACACGATAAAACATCAAGCATTAAAACATTTCCCAATACAGGACTGCTTTCAGGTGTCTTCTAAACGTCAGATAGTTGACATCTAATGGGAGGGTGTTTCACAGGGCGGGTGCCACTACCAAGAAGGCCCTTTGCCTGGTTCCCTGTAACTTGGCTTCTCGCAGTGAGGGAACCGCCAGAAGGCCCTCAGAGCTGGACCTCAGCATCCGGGAAGAACGATGGGGGTGGAGACGCTCCTTCAGATATACTGGACCGAGGCCATTTAGGGCTTTAAAGGTCAGCACCAACACCTTGAATTGTGCTCGGAAACATACTGGGAACCAATTAAGGTTTTTCAGGACCGGTGTTATGTGGTCCCGGCGGCCGCTCCCAGTCACCAGTCTAGCTGCCGCATTCTGGATTAGTTGTAGTTTCAGAGTCACCTTCAAAGGTAGCCCCACCTTGAGCGCATTGCAGTAGTCCAAGCGGGAGATAACCAAAGCATGCACCACTCTGGCAAGGCAGTGGTTTCTGCATTGCAAGATGTTGGATTATTGCTAGGGCCCCAACTCTTCATTTCTATGAGTCCATGAATTTCCGGCAGGGGTACCATTAGGCTACCTTGCTGTCAAGACATAGACGGGAGTTTGCCATTTAGGTTGTGTTTCCCCTTTCTCTTATTAGTCCCTCACTGTGCTATTTTATCCTACACCGATGCTGCCCTCCCACTTCTTGAAGCCAATAGAAGCTTGAAAGAGTGGCAGAGTGGAGTTTTGGTGGAAATCAAGGTCAGCCGAGACTCTTAGCTAATAATAATAATAATTTTTTATTTATATCCCGCCCTCCCCAGCCGAAGCCGGGCTCAGAGCGGCTAACAACAGTAAAAGCAACACAGTTTACATAAAATCACAATCAATTAATTAAAATACATTCTAAAATCAATTCATTCTAAAATCAGTTCAGAATCAAATTAAAGGCAACCATTGGGCTAGAGTGCTATGAGGATTACAGAAGGAGAGAGTGGGTCAGACTGCGCCTTGGCCAAAGGCCTGGTGGTCTTTGCAAGCCCTGCGGAAAGATGTCAAGTCCCGCAGGGCCCTAGTCTCTTGGGACAGAGCGTTCCACCAGATTGGGGCCACATCCGAAAAAGCCCTGGCTCTGGTTGAGGCCAGCCTAACCTCCCTGTGGCCCGGGATCTCCAAGATGTTTTTATTTGAAGACCGTAAGGTCCTCCGTGGGACATACCAGGAGAGGCGGTCCCGTAGGTACGAGGGTCCTAGGCCGTATACTTCGCATATAACTTTCACAATGAGGGCGTGTGCATTGGAGCCCCTCTCCGCTTATTGGAACAGTCCTTGTTTATCGCCCTGGGGATCATGCATAGAGGTTCAAGCTACATTTTCTGCTGCAAACTCTCAGCCGTTCTGTCTCTCAGAGCTGGCTCATAATCTTCCCATCCTAATGAGGATGCCTCTGTTTGAACAACTATTGGTTTGTGTTGGAAGGCTGGAGGAAGGCAACCACTTTTGTCTACCAACAGCCACTACAGGTAGACGGGTGCAGAATACTCCTGGGTCGGGCTTGCATGGAGAGCAGCTTCATCGTTGGCAAAAACAGGAGCAGTCCTTAAAATTGCTATACATCATTTAGTCTGACACCCTTAGGGCAAAGAAAGGTCTCCCCTCCCCTTCTTTTCTCTGAGAGTTCTGTGAGCTCCTCCAGCCTGACTGCCTGTAGTAGCTGTTACTAGATGAGAATTCAAAGCTCCAACACAAAGAGAGCTGGATGTTTAACCAGGCCTGAGAGGTGAGAGTTGTTGGTTTCTGCAGCAATAGGTGTGGTTAGCATTTAGCAAAGGGGCGGGGGAGGGAATTTGATTTAGTTCAAATTTAAAGGTGAACCAACCTTATCTGCATTTTTCCAAAACAATGCACATTTTTTTAAAAAAGGCTCTCGTATGAAATGTGCATTTGTTTGAATTTTGCAATGTGGTTCCCCAGCTTAGTAATGTGCAAGTAAGCTAGCATAAAACGTGTGTTATGCAAACTGCTTTGCAGAAATGTGCATATTAGTGAAAACGGCATGCCTTAGAAGAAATCTGCATTAGGGAGCTGATGAATGTTCACGAGGACTTAAAAATAAATAGGTCACTAGCTGAAATGAAAATGTGGGAAACGGAAGTTACCAGTGGAAAAAATGAGAAACTGAGCAATCGCAAGACTGATAGATGTGTCCGTCTCTAACGGCATTTCTGTGTGTGGAGGGCCTGGGTAAAGTACATTGGGCAGGAGCGCTGTGGCACCTTATGCTTTTCATTTTGTGGGGCTGGTGCAGCAGCATAAAGTAGGCCGTAACATTTAAAGCAGTTCTATACCACTTTCCCAAATCAATGGCTTCCCCCAGAGAATCCTGGGAACTGTAGTTTGTTAGGGGTGCTGTTTGTTGTTGTTTAGTCGTTTAGTCGTGTCCGACTCTTCGTGACCCCCTGGACCAGAGCACGCCAGGCACCTCTGTCCTCCACTGCCTCCCGCAGTTTAGTCAAAGTCGTGCTGGTAGCTTCGAGAACACTATCCAACCATCTCGTCCTCTGTTCTCCCCTTCTCCTTGTGCCCTCCATCTTTCCCAGCATCAGTGTCTTCTCCAGGGAGTCTTCTCTTCTCATGAGGTGGCCAAAGTTTTGGAGCCTCAGCTTCACGATCTGTCCTTCCAGTGAGCACTCAGGGCTGATTTCCTTAAGAATGGATGCGCTTGATCTTCTTGCAGTCCATGGGACTCTCAAGAGTCTTCTCCAGCACCATAATTCAAAAGCATCAATTCTTCGGCGATCAGCCATCTTTATGGTCCAGCTCTCACTTCCACACATCACTACTGGGAAGACCATGGCTTTAACTATACGGACCTTTGTTGGCAAGGTGACGTCTCTACTTCTCAAGATGCTGTCTAGGCCTGTCATTGCCCTTCTCCCAAGAAGCAGGCGTCTTGTTAGGAGATCCCTATTCCCTTCCCAGAGCTACAATTCCCGGAGTGTTTTAACAATCAATCCCTCTTCCCAGGAAACTCTGGCAACTGTAGCTCTGAAGGGGAATAGGGCATCTTCTAACAATTCCCAGCACCCTTAACAGATGACAGTTCCCAGAATCCTTTGGCGGGGAGCCATGACTGTTCAGAGTGGTATGATATTGCTTGAAGCATAGCATGTGCTAGAGCAAACGCTGTTTGAGTTGTCTCATGACAAGGCCTCTCTTCCAGGTGTGCCAAAAGGCTGGTGAGATCTCTCTGCTGAAGCAGCAGCTGAAGGACTCCCAGTCCGACGTCTCCCAGAAGCTCAACGAGATCGTCGGCTTGCGGACCCAGCTCAAGGAAGGCAAGAGCTTCCTCAGGGAGAAGGAGGAGCAGATCCTGACCTTGAAAGACTCCTACAGCACCAAGAGCGTCAGCCTGGAGATCTCCGAGGGCGAACTGCAGCGGAAGATGGGCGAGGTGCAGATGTTGAGGGAGAAACTTGACCAGTGCGAGCTGGAGGTCTCCAACCTGAAGCAGACCCTCACCAGCCTGGGCGGGGCCCACGGCCACTTTGGCGCCGAGCTGGCGGAGAAGCTGGCGAGGGACCCTTTGGCTTGCGAGAGCGACGAGGCCAAGATGAAGCGGCAGAGCGAGGAGAACTTCAACGCGCTGAAGAAGGAGGTGGAGCGGCTGCAGGCGGAGCTGAAGGCCGAGAGGCAGCAGCGGGAGCAGCAGGTCCTGGACTTTGAGGAGGAGCGCCGCACCTGGCAGGATGAGAAGGAGAAGGTCATCAAGTACCAGAAGCAGCTGCAGCTGAATTACGTGGAGATGTACCAGAAGAACCAAATCCTTGAGCACAAAGTCAGTGAAATGACCAGCAAGGTCGCCAGCCCGCCACACACCGACGAGAAGAAAACATGGACTCCTTCCAGGCTGGAGAGGATAGAGTCCACAGAGATCTGAGGAAAGGACTTGAGGCGTTCAAAGTACGTTGTCCCCCCAACCCCACCTCCCCAAATTACTGTGCATGTACTTCAGCCGGTGATCTTCCCGAGGAGAATTAATATGCTATATAACCAGCAGTGTAAGTTCGTCTGCCCTGGGCATCTCCCACAATGCTCTGGTGCTTTGCAGGTGATAAAGGAAAAATAGAGACAGGTGTTTCTTCTGTGTTTCTAGGGATGAGCTGACATCAGGAGTATTGTGGGGTGGGTGGATTGAGTGTGCGTATGTGGGGAGGGGTCAGGGGCGCAGTCTTGCACCCAAGATTGGGGGGCCAGCGTGCATCGCATTGTGTGATGTCATGCTTGGGACGCGCATCGCATGTGTGACATCGTATGCGTGTCACTTGCATGTGAAGTCATTGCACATTGGCGGGAGGAAGTTGAGTGGGGAACCCGGCGTGGTGCGGTTCAATGGTTAGCTCCTCCTGAGTGCGACAGAGGAAGCCGCGCCGCACTGGGCTCCCCGCTCGGCTTCCTCTCGACATGATGCAGAATGCACATCACATGTATGACATCACATGTGTGCGACATGCATTGAAAGGGAAGAGGCCAACTGGACGGCCTGGTGCAGCCTCCTCTCTTGCACTCTGGAGGAGCCAGCCATTGAACCATGCTACACTCGGCCTTCTCTGCCCCGTCAACACCAAGGGGGCCCGGTCCCCTGCCAGCAAATATTGAGGCGGGCCGAAGAGCCCTCTGCCCCTAGGAGTTGGCATGCCTGGTGTGGGGTTTTTATTTTATTTTCCCTTAGCCCCATTGACAAAGACACCACAGAGTTTTCTGTGTCTGCCATTACTGCAGCACCTCTCTTAATGGTCTTCTGGCCCACCTTTTTTCCCCAGGGCATTTTTTAGCCATATTGGCTAGTAGAAGTTCGTGCCACACTCAGGCTTGCCTCATCTTTGCCATAACCCAGGGTGGAATCCCTCCGACATTCCTCAGGGAAAAAGGGACGTTCTCTTCCACATCAGCAGAACGCCTCTATTTTCTGAGGAAGCCTTCCAGGTATCAGACTCCCAACTGCCATCAGCCTCAGTCAACGTGGCCGAGAGTCAGGGGGTGATGGCAGCTGCGGTCCAGAACATTGGAGGCCCCCCAGGTTGGGGAAGGCTGTCCTGAAGTATTTCTGTGTCACAACCGGACATAAATCATAATTTCTGCTCCCTAGATAACTCTGGATATTGTCGTTCTGAGAGGAGCAGGGGGTACAGATCGCTTGCAGGCAATTCTCAGCACCTAGAAAACCTACAATTCCCAGGATCCTTTGAGAGGAGCCATGACCAGTATAAAAGTGATACGAATTGGGAGTGTCACTGTCTGCCGCCCCCTTTTGAAGGAGTTCCCTATGAAAGCCAATTCTGAGTTCTCAGTTACGGGCTTCATGTGTGCCACCTTCGGTCCCAGGCTAAGCCGATTATAAATTGGAAGCAAGGCGTGTTTATTTACTTCCTGGTTCACACTCCATCTTAGTTTGTGGTGGCATTCATATGCTGCGGATGGGAGCAGTTTGCGGGTTATCTGATTCTTGCAAGGTTATGCCCTCGGACATCTACACACACAAGCTGTGAGAGATGTTGCACAGACAATAGGAGAGGGCAAGACTTCCCCAGGCATGTACAATCTATGCTCTGCACCGTGGACTGAATCGAAACAACTCTCTCAAAGGCAGTGCTCCAGATATCCCAATGAGAGGGCCGTGAACTGAGGTGGCATCAGTAGGCCTGGATTAGTGAAACCGTGGCCCCCAAAAAACATTATAACATTTTTTTATATTGACTACCATTTTAGATAGGTAAAGGGACCACTGACCATTAGGTCCAGTCGTGGCCGACTCTGGGGTTGCGGTGCTCATCTCGCTTTATTGGCCGAGGGAGCTGGTGTACAGCTTCTGGGTCATGTGGCCAGCATGACTAAGCCGCTTCTGGCGAACCAGAGCAGCGCACAGAAACACTGTTTACCTTCCCGCCGGAGCGGTACCTATTTATCTACTTGCACTTTGACGGGCTTTCAAACTGCTAGGTTGGCAGGAGCAGGGACCGAGGAATGGGAGCTCACCCCGTTGCAGGGATTCAAATCGCCAACCTTCTGATCGGCAAGCCCTAGGCTCTGTGGTTTAGTCCACAGCGCCACCCGTGTCCCCTTACCATTTTAGATAGTTGGCACTTAACACCTCATTCCTTTAATGCAGCCAGGAGGGCAAGAAGTAAGCTATCACATGTAGTTGGCATTGGGGGAGAAGGCAGAAGAACGGGATGGAAAGGAAATTATGTGGGGCATCTAGTCCGGCTCCAAATGCTAACACACACACAGTTGGTCATCTGCCTTGTCCAGCATGGTTAAGAAAGGAGGAGCATGGGCGTTCTCCTAGGTCAATAGTTCCTAAGCATTTCCAGGCCACACACACCCTTGGCTCCTTAAATTCATCCCTGGTGCCCCCCTACCCTATAAAAAACCATTATTCCAGAACAGCGGTTTGCACAACCCACTAAGGAAGATAAGAGCACAATAAAATTCAAAACATTTATTTTTATATAAAAAAATCTAATTAAAATTATTAAGTTTAATTAATTCAACAAAATGGGTGATCCAGTGACCCTAGCTTTTCAAAGGCTAATCATCATTTGCACCTCCACACCCCGGCCGCCCCCTTGTCTCTTAGCACCCCTTTAGGCAATCCCACTAAGCCACTTTGGGAAATGCTGTTCTAGATCATTGCACTGCTCTTTGCTCAGCCAAATACTGCAGTGGGTTTGAATTTTTTTAATGGGAAGATAGTTTGGCCAAACATACAGTGGACGCTTGGGTTGCGAACGTGATCCGTGCGGGATGCACGTTCGCAACCTGCGCATGTGCGGGTTGCGATTCGGCGCTTCTGCGCACCCGCGGCCGCTGAAACCCAGAAGTAACCCATTCTGGTACTTCTGGGTTTCGGCAGTCCATAACCCAAAAAAAATGCAACCTGAAGCATCTGTAACCCGAGGTATGACTGTATTTAGAATTAGAGATTATCTCAATCAAGAGATGAGTGGTTTTTCTCTCCCCTCGGGGCTTTCCCCAGAACATTGCTTATGTTGAGTTTCAGAAACACACACGCATGGAGGCTGCCTTATACTGAGCCAGCCCATGTGTCCGTCTGGCTCAGTCTCGTCTACACTGATTGGCAGCAACCCTCTAGGAATTCAGGCAGAAGGCATTCCCAGCCCTGCATGGCGGTTCTGGGCGTTGAGCCAGGGGCCTTCTGCATGAGAAGCAGGTGCTCTACCCAAGGGTGTAGGAAGGTGGGTGCGGTCCGGCCCGGGGCCCACCCTGACGGGGGGGTGACAAAATGGCGGGTGGCACGGGCCACACTTCTCTGCGCCCGCTGGCTCCGCGCTGTCCGCCCATTGCCTCCCCCCCCAGCTGTAGGGCAGCTGAGGCCCTGCTGTGCGCCCCATCCCTATGGGAGCTGCGCATCATGTCTCATCCCTATGGGCACCGCGCCCCACCCATGGGCACTCCGGTGCCCGAGATGTTTCCTCTGCCGCTGGCTCTACCATCCAGTCCTTTTGCATTAATAATCATAAAAATAAATTGTATTTATGCCCCACCCTCCCCGGCCAGAGGTGGCTCAGGGCGGCTAACACCAGTAAAATTACAGTAAAAACATAATGGGGGGGGGGACCAATTTAAAATCCAGGTTAAAATGCAATTTAAAATACAGCCTCATTTTAAAAGTAGCCCATAGATCAAAACCATAAGGGGAGGGAAACATAAGGGTCAGACTGAGTCCAAACCAAAGGCCAGGCGGAACAGCTCTGTCTTGCAGGCCCTGCGGAAAGATGTCAAGTCCCACAGGGCCCTGGTCTCTTGTGACAGAGCGTCCCACCATGTCGGGGCCAGTACTGAAAAGGCCCTGGCCCTAGTTGAGACCAATCTAACCACCTTGCAACTTGGGGCCTCCAAAATGTTGTCATTTGTGGACCTTAAGGTCCTCCGTGGGACATACCAGGAGAGGCGGTCCCATAGGTATGAGGATCCTAGGCCGCATAGGGCTTTAAAGGTCAAAACCAGCACCTTAAACCTGACCCTGTACTCCACTGGGAGCCAGTGCAGTTGGTAAGGTTCCTCTTCCCTTGCGAAGGAGTTCCTGCCATCAAGTGTCCCTGCTCCTTCAGCTGCATGCAATTGGATTTATTTAGCAAGTCCTGATTAGGTCCCAGGAATACGAGTTGGGCTCCCATATTTGCGGCAGAGCTTTTGAGCGAATGGATTTGCTCAAAAGCGGTATTTTGCTAGTCTGTACCAACTTAGCCAGCTCCTCCCAGCTTTTCCACACGCTCTAATGGACCTTCTTATCTGCCCTAGGTTAGGACAGGAATGAATGCTATGCAAGGCCGATAAAAGAACCAATTATTCTTGGAAGCGATTGGGAGCTCAGAATTCCTTACTTGGAGGGGGCCACCTGAAGGAGTTCGTGGCTACCATTGTGCTGTTGGAGTTGCATTTAAAGTGATTTTTTAAAAAATAAAAATAAATAAAAGCAAAGGCCGCTGGGACAGGAAAGGGCTTTGGCATTTTTCCAATACCAAAACGCCGCCAAGTTAAGTGTTTGGAGGAACGTGGCATCCTTGCGATAGGAGGTGCTGCCTGGAAGCAGGAAATCTGGAGCCTGTCTGCACTGCAAAGCTAATCCCATTTCAAGCTCAGGTAGCTGATTTGGCACCCAACCAAACAAGGAACCCATAAAAACACAAGAAGAGCCTTTCAAGGTCAAGTCAGCCAGGAGTCTCTCTCTAGTCCAGCCTCCTGCTTCTCGCATTGGCCAACCAAGTGCTCTCAGGAAGCAGCCCTTTTGGTCCCCTGCAATGGGAACTCAGGCCCTACATCTGCATGGTGCATTTAAAGCAGTGCCATGCCACTTTAAACAATCACAGCTTCCTCCACAGAATCCTGGGAAGTTCAGTTAGTTAAGGCTGCCGGGAGTTGTTGCGGGATCCTTATTTCCCTCACAGATCGACAATTTTCAAGAGTTCTTTGGGAAGGGGGGTAGACCACTCTGAGGATTGTAGCTTGGTTAGTGGAATTGGGGTCTCCCTCACAACTCTCACCGCCCTCCCAGGATTCCTTGGGGGAAGCGATGACTGAAGTGGCATCATTGTGCTTTAAATGTCAGG